GCTCAGTTAGAGGAAAGAGGGGGTGTTGGGGAAATGATCTGCCTCTACGCCTCCCATCCGGGCTGCCTAGGTAAAGTCCTTGGGCCCAGAACATTCTCTGATAAGGAGGCTGGGAATTGAGTCACTTTCTCTCTCCCAGTTGCTTCTCGTTATCGGGGAAGCTTTCCTCCTATTCTGGGCACACAGTAACTTTTTCTGTCTCTTGCACATTTGCAGGCACCATATGGCACCTGACCAACCCCACTGCTATATCTGTTCCCAGTGGGGAGGGAAGGGGGTCTCTCGTACTACGGCACAAGAGGGTGAGTGGCACAGGAGAGAAAACATGCCAGATTGTAAGAGCTGGTCTCGAGGGGTGGACAAAAGGGGAAACAAGCTTTGTGAGGGTGAACATGGGCGCTCCCATGTGGTTCAGTAGTTTACTACCACTTGCATTCTTATGTAAGCCCCTGGCATAGAGCCACTATTGTCCACCACCACTATAAAACCTCTGCCCTCCCACTGCGGGGTGCAGAGTTCTGCTTTGGTCCTACAGCCACCCAGGACTTGGCCTTGTATGTAAGTCTCCCTAATAAAACTTCTGCACCACCACACTGGAGTTGCCTGCTTCTTTTTTTGGTCTCTCAGCACCCTCCATTTCTGGAGCAAATTTCAAGTTATGGTCTATGCCTGGACAATTGGTGAGCCAGCCAGGAGACTGAGGAAATGGCAAGTGGGGGTGGCGAATCTATGGGGGAAATCCCAGGCTGGCCAGTGACCTCCACGTGGGGTGGTCTGCCCTTTATGCTTTTCTGTGAGGGAAATCCCAATTGGCCAGCTACCTCCACGTGGGGAGGTCTGACCTGTATGCTTCTCTGTGGAGAAAATCCCAGGTTGGCCAGTGACCGCCATATGGGAAGGTCTGGCCCATATGCTTTTCTGTTTGTGGACTGCTGTGTGAGTACAGGGATGCCCCCCAAATGCTAAGTGACATAGCCTGGTTGTGAGCAGACACATGCCTTCATAAGCGTGGAAAACAAGCTGGGAGAACAGTAGCGGCCATGGGTTAGCTGCAGCTCTGGGCTGTTAGGCTGGCTACTGAAGCCCAGCCAGCTGCTGAAGCACTCGTAAGAGCTTGGCAGGAAGAACTACAGTTGGAAAGCGATGTGAGGCAGTTGTGTGAGGGCATGACTGCTGTACTCAGCAGGTGCATCCAAGAAAAGCATGAGCAACAAGAAATGGTCACCTGTAGGTTTGTAAAGATGGGGGATTCAAGGGCTAGGGGAACAATTGCTCAGAGCCCTTGCTCAGAGCCCCCCAACAATGGGACAGGAGACAGTTGGAGGGGCTAAGCAGGTCCCCGTCACTGAGGACACCCTGTAACACCCAGCGCAAAGCAAGAGTTAAAACAGTAGGGGAAAAAAAAAAAAAAAAAAACAAGGAGCGAAAAGGTCTTCAAGCTGGCTTGTGTTGAGAAGACTTGAAGAGCCCTCAGAGGCCCTCTCTGGGAATCCTAGGATAGCTGCTCCTGCCAGGATAACCCAGCAGCAACAGAGTCACAGCTGCAATAGTAAGGAGGAAACTAAAATCAGAGGGACCCTTCCATGTTACCAGGCAACTGGGCTGACCCCAGGCTTGCACTTGGTATGGGGGAGGTGTGGCTCCACACACGACTGAGGGTTGTGCCAACTTTGTCCAGGTCTTCTGACCTTCAGAAGTAATTAAGACTGAGATTAAGCCTAGGTCCCTCTGCCACCAGGGAGGACCAAAGCCCTATGTTACAATTAAAGTTCAATGAGGAAATGAAAGGAATTGTGTGTCTTGGGTATTTAGATACCATTGCACAGGTGACTGTGATCTCTATAACACCTGGCACCAAAATGAGGACAACTTTTGGGTCTGAGGTCACCATCATTGAGAACTTTGCCCAAGCGTGACTATGGATAAGTCCCACTGGGGCCCCTACAAACCCCTATTGTATGTGTTGATGATGTTGATGTATTAATGTACACCTTTGTAAACTTCTGCCTCCAAGTCCTATCGGGACTTGCTGCAGTTAGGGCCATTTTAGTGGGGCACACGGAAACTGTGATGTGGACTATAGCTAATACCCTGGCCACTCAATCTGGCCACTGACAACCCTCAGACTGACACATAAAGCAATCCCCTATGGGGATGAGACATCTGGACCAAAAAAAAAAAAAAATCAGTTCTGCTCCTGATAAGTTTTTATTACTTGTGTGGATGGTCACCAGAAAGGCCCCAGTGCTGAGAGGGGAAAACAATCAACGACTAGACTGCTCTTGCCAACTCACTGCAGAGGCTGAAGCATCCTCTGCTCCAGAACAAAGAGATGTGCAACCAACCACCTCCTGGATTCAAGAGAGGGCGGCCTATGGAGAGTCACACACCATCCTAGACTGGGCCTACACATGGCCTGCCACTGTCATCAGAAAATGCTGGACAGCATAGAAAAGCTGACCTGCCCATGAGACCCTGGCCAAGGCTAAAACCTGCCCAGGGACAGATTCTCGAGCCAACAGGCCAGGGCGTTCTCGGCAGGTAAATCATACTGGGGCCTGTTATTGCATACAGAGGCTTCCAATGGATCTTGAATGAACTCTTCATGCTCTGTATCACCCCCAAACCATAGGGGCGAGTGAGCACTTCCATGGACAGGCTTAAATGGCGGATGGGAGGAGACAAGACAACCTCAGCCTGCACGATACATCTCAGGCAAGCAGTCTGGGGTATCCACGTTGCAGATCCCTGCAAGGGCGTTCCTCATTTGCGCCACGTGTTTGATCAAACTGTCTATTCTGTAAAACGGGTTTCTTCTGCATACAACTGTTCCTGACCAAAGATCTGCATTCCCACAGAGGTCACCACCTCACAACTAGGATAGACAGCCTGGGTGGCTACACCCGGGCAACCTTCACCTCAAGACAAGAAGTTCTGCTTTTTGAAGTCCCCACTGTGTGGTGTTTTGCTCCGGCCTTCGCAGAGACTGCTCTAAGACGGCGGGAAGACTCCACACTCTCCACCTTGACAGCTCTGCCCTCCTTGTGCATCCTTGGCTCCCCACTCCCTGCAGCTTGTCCCCTTCAGCACACACCCATCCTAAAGCAATAACTGCCACCACCACAAACACCCTCCTGACCCCACACCCCCTGAGCCAGCACCTCACTTCCCGGCCCCCTCGCCGATTGCCTCTCCCCCTCCTCTCAGGCCTCCCTCTCCTGGACTGCAGCTGCTGTCAAAGTCTCCAATGACCTCCGCGTGGCGACTGTTCAGTGGGCGGTTCTCGAGCGTAGTCACACCCGAGGGAGGCTGCAGGATTTCCCCGTCAGCCACTCCCTCCTGCTCCCAGCCCCCTCACTTGGCCTCCAGGCACCTGCTTGCCTGGCGTCCTCCCCGGAACCCCAGCTCCTTCTCCATGTCTTTGCTGGCCACTCCTGTCTGTCTGTCCAGGCTCTCTGCCTTGGATTCACTGGGGTTGCCATGTCGAGCCCGAGCTACAGATTGCTGGTGTTATCAGGTACCATCAATCATTTTTGTCTCATGGCTACCCTATATGACAGAGTAGAACTGCCCCATAGGGTTTCCTAGGCTGTAATCTTTACGGAAGCAGATTGCCAAGTCTTTCTCCTAAAGAGCTGCTGGGAGGGTTCGAACTGCCAACCTTTCGGTTAGCAGCCAAGCAAGTAAGCATTTTGCCACCATGATCCTGTTAATTATGCCAATTGACATATTTCTTTCTTATGACTTTTTATTTCTTTTTCTTGCCTTATTTCAATCTCTAGAATCTCTACTATCATGATGAATAGAAGTGGCGATGGGACGTTTCTGCCTGTCTGTGACCCTGGGGGCAAGCGTTCCACATATCCCCGTTAAATATGATGCTAGCTGCAGGTCTTCTTCTCTGTCTACCCTTCCTGCCTTGTGGACTCTACTGAGAACCCCTAAGTGTGTGTCTGCGGCCCAAGCCCCTCTTCCGACCCCCAACAACACACCCCTCCACACCTGCACGTAGACGCACTGTAGACCTTGCACACTGGACCAGTTCAAACACCACATCTTCCCCCAGACCATCCTCCGGCCGATCCTCATCTCAGTGATGGCTACGCCACTTTCCAGGTTGTTCAGTGCCCCTCAGCAACCCTCTCTCTCACCCCTGCATTGACACCCTCTGCAAGTCCTGTTGGCCGTGCCTCGAGCAAGAGTCCAAATGGGACCCTTCCCACCCTCTCCCCAGCCTGCTCTGAGCCACCAGCATCCCTCAGCCAGGTCACCACACTTACACCCCTACATCCCACAGTTGGCCTTCCATACACGGCCAGGGAGATCCTTCCAGCATCTGGCCAGAGGGTGTCACTGCTCAGCTCAAAACCTCCCGGTGGCTTCCGTTCTCTCTCAGTTCAGGGTAAAAGCCTCCACACTTCTCTGTACTCATCCACACCTTGCGCTCACCCACTTAGCCCCAGACAAGCCTTCCCTGACCTTCCTCCAGGAAGCAAGACAGGCTCCTGCCTCAGGGCCTTTGCATGGGCCATTTCCTCTGCCTGGAACACTCTTCCCGACATCCATGATGCCCTCACTTCCTTCAGGTGTTTACTCCAATGTCACCTTCTTGAAGAGGCCCACCCTGACCACTCAGTGTACCGCAGTTCGAACCCACCAGGCGCCCCGAGGGAGAAAGAGCTGGCGATCTGCCCGTAAAGATGACAGCCTTGGAAACCCTATGGGGCAGTTCTACTCGGTCCTGTAGGGTTGCTGTGAGTCGGAATTGACTTGATGGCAATGGGTTTGGCTTTCTGTTAACAGGGAATCACCCTCCACAGTGTGCCCACTTGTATTGTTCACTGCGCCTCCCACTGGAGTGCGGGTTCCATGGATTTGTGTCCGTCCTGTTTCCCGATGCTTCCCCATGTGCCTGGGACTGACCAGCAGGCTGCAAGCATTCCAGATATCTGTGGAATGAACTTGGGAAACCCCCGAAGGAGTGGACCCAGGGCACCTACCTTCACGTTTACGGAAGCAGAAACCACTTCGGATATTTCTCTCTGCAGCCGGAATTGCAAGCCAGAGCAGGAGCCAGTTCCACCTGACAACACCATGTTGCTGAAGAGTTTCTTCCAGAGGGCGGGGTCGCAGGAGGAGACGCTCTGGGAGGCAACCATGTGGATGCCCAGGGTGTTCCTCCCTGTGGGGATGGGGTGGCCGGGAGAGGACAGAGAGAGGAGAGACAAAGAGAGAGGGAGGAGAGAGAGAGAGGAAGGGGAGAAGAGAGAGACAGAGAGAGAGGGAGGAGGAGAGAGAGACAGAGAGATACAGAGACAGAGAGCAGGAAAGAGAGAGACAGGAGAGAGATGGGGGAGGGAGTGATAGAGAAGGAGAGACAGAGAGAGACACAGAGACAGAGAGGGAGAAGGTGAGACAGAGACAGAGAGAAGCAGGGAGAGACAGAGAGGAAGGAGGAAAGAGAGACAGAGAGAGAGAGTATAAGTATGTCCCACGAAATATTCGGACATGTTGTTGTTGTTAGCTGGTGTAGAGTCAGCCCCCAACTCATGCTGACCCCAAATAAACAGAACCAAATGCTGCCCAGTCTTGCACCATCCCCATCAGACTATTGTGATCCATAGGTTTTTCATTAGCTGATTTTTAGAAGACAATCACCAGGCCTTTCTTCCTAGTCCATCTTGGTCTGAAAGTTCTGCTGAAACCTGTTGCGCGTGATAGCAACACGCGAGCCTCCACTGACAGATGGGTGGTGGCTGCATGTGAGGTGTGCTGGCTGGGAATGAAACACAGGCCTCCCGCGCGGAGGGTGAACATCCCACCACTGCCTCATAACCAGCATATCCCGCTGCCGTCGAGTTGATTCCGACTCATAGTGACCGTATAGGACAGAGTAGAACTGCCCCATAGGGTTTCCAAGAAGCTCCTGGTGGATTTGAACTGCTGACCTTTTTGTTAGCAGCCGAGCTCTTAACCACTGCTCCACCAACAGGCACATAAGAAAAAAACCCATTGCCATCAAGCCGATTCTGACTCATAGCGTAGGTGCTTAGTAAGTGTGGGTTGATACGAACTTTTGATATCGGGTGCCTATTTACTATGATTTGCTACTCACACGGAGTCCCCTCTAGGCCACCCTGCTCCTCCTCTCTTACAGGGTGCTCAGTTGCCCCAGTCTGGCTAACCCTGCCCCTCCCCGGGGACTCACCTATGAGGCTGGTGTTGAAGAGTGCCTCGGGGCAGAAGAACCTCTCCCTGCCGATGTCAATCTCCTGACCATCGGGCAGCTGGTACGTCCTCTTGAAGGAAGGCGACTCGGCTTTCGCCTGCTCTTTTTCAAAGTCCAAAGCCACGTAGCAACGCTTCTCTTTCATGTCCCGGACATACTCCCGGTCATCTGTGCGAGAGAGGAAAACAGTGTCATCACTAGGGGGGAGCAGGGGGTGCGGACTGCACCGGGTGACATTGTCGGGGGGGGGGTGTGACACCGCAATGACTGTCTATAAAATTTTTGCGCAGTGTTTTAGCAGAAATTCATTATTTTTAATAAAAATATCCCTATAGTTAGTTATAAACAAAAACATGTTTCGTGAGCTCAGCTTACATGTATCAATATACCTACAAGGCTAAAACTCTACGCTGATTTACTTTTTGAACCTTCTAATGCGCTCCCGTCAAGAGCTGTCATTATTATCGGATTATAACCGTGTTTCAAATCATGTGGTTTCGTCTGCACAAGCTACAAGCTTGTGCTGTTGTTTTCGTTGCTGCTGGTGTTTTTATAGTCGCTGATTTTGTCAAATTTTCTGGTGTTTTACCCTTCGGCCAAAGATTAGACAGGCCAATAAAACAAAACGAGACTAAATGGGCACATCAGCCCAGGGGCAAGGATGAGAAGGCAGGAGGGGACAGGAAAGCTGGTGATGGGAAACCCAAGGTCAAGAAGGAGAGAGTGTTGACATGTTGTGGGGTTGGCAACCAAGGTCACAAAACAATATGTGCGTTAATTGTTTAATGAGAAACTAGTTTGCTCTGTAAACCCTCATCTAAAATACAATTAAAAAATTTTTCTGAATGTTCTGCATCTTACTTTGGTGAGTGGCATCTGGGGTCTTAAAAGCTTGCAAGTGGCCATCTAAGATGCATCAGTTGGTCCCAACCACCTGGGCTAAAGGAGAATGAAGAACACCAAAGACACAAGGAAAGCATTAGCCCAAGAGACAGAAAGGGCCACATAAACCAGAGACTTCATCAACCGGAGACCAGAAGAACTAGATGGTGCCCGGCTACCACCAATGTCTGCCCTGACAGGGAACACAACAGAGAGACCATGATGGAGCAGGAGAAAGGTGGGGTGCAGAACTCAAACTCTAGTAAGAAGACCAGACTTAATGGTCTGACTGAGACTGGAGGAACCCCAGAAAGCATGGCCCCTGGCTTCTCTTTCAGCCCAGAACTAAAACAATTTCCAAGGCCAACTCTTCAGACAGGGATGAGACTGGACTGTGGGACATAAAGTGATACTTGTAAGGAGTGTGCCTCTTAGCTCAAGTAGATACAAGAGACTAAACGGGCAGCTTGTGTCCGGAGGTGAGATGGGAAGGCAGAGAGGGTTAGGAGCTGGTTGAATGGACATGGGGCATCAGGGTGGAAAGGAGGAGTGTGCTCTCACAGTATAGGGTGAGCAATTAGGGTTACATAACAATGTATGTATAAATTTTTGTATGGGAGACTAACTTGAAATGTAAACTTCATTTAAACTACAACAATAAAAAAGAAAAAAAAATTTCCGGTGTTTTAGCTACAGTATTATAGTAATTAGCATGGAGGGGGGTGACACCAGCTAGCCACACAGTCCATTTCCTTCTCCTATTCCTGACTCGCCTTCTTCCTCTGTTGCTCCAGGCAAATAGAGACCAAGTATTGTGCCTTGGATGGCCACTTGCAAGCTTCTAAGATCCCAGGCACCACACAACGAACTGAGAGGTAGAACAGAAGCACTAAACACGTTATTAGGCCAATTAACTGGGATGTCCCGTGAAACCATGACCCTAAACCTCCAAACCGAGGAACCAAATCCCATGAGGTGTTTGCCTGCATATAAGCAACCACTTTGTGTGTGTGTGTCATTGTTGTAAATACACCTATCACAACGTTTGCCAATTCAACTTTCTATAGGTACACAATTTATTGACAATTAGAATAGCTGGCTGCACAACCCTACCCTTAATCAATGCAATTTTCCCATCACTGTAAACAGAAACTCAGTACTTCATAAGCAATAAAGCCCCACTTCCTCTTCCCTCCCACCCGGGGTAACCACTAAGAGACCTTATTCTCTATACATTTGCTTGTTCTTGTCTTTTTCTGTAAGTGAGGCCATACGATATTTGTCCTTTTGTGATTGACTTATTTCCCTCAGCGTAATGTCTTCCAGCTTCATCCATATTGTAGCATGCATCAAGGCTCTATGTCTCCAACTATCTGAGTAGTATTCCGTTGTATGTATGCACTACATCTTGTTTATCCATTCATCTGTCGATGGGCATTTAGGTTGTTTCCACGTTTTAGATACCGTCAATACTGCTGCAATAAATTCTGGTGTACAAGTCTCTTTTTGAGTCTCTGCTTTCAAGTCTTTTGGGTCTATACCTAGGAGTGGAATTGCTGGGTCGTATGGTAGTTCTATTTTTAATTTTTTGAGGAACCACCACCAGCTGTATCATTTTACATTCCCACCAGAAGTGGATAAAGGTTCCAATTCTCCCACATCCTTGATTTGCAGGGTTTTCAGTGGATGATTTTTTGGAAGTAGATCACCAGGCCTACCTTCTGAGGCGTCTCTGGATGGGCTCAAACCTCTAACCTTTTGGTTAGCAGCCAAGTGTATTAACCATTTCCACCAGCCAGAGACTCCTTCTACTAACATAGTAGGTGCTATTGGTGGAACAGGTCTCTGGGTGATACCAACAATTTACTCTCAGGTATTAACCGAAAAGTTGGCAGTTTGAACCAGCAGTGCCATGGAAGAAAGGCCTGGCAATCTGCTGCTGTGAAGATTACAGCCAAGAAAATCCTTTGGAGCAGTTCTACTCTGTGACACATGGAATAGACTGTCTGGCAAGGGGCTTGGTTTGGTTTTTATTGGTGCAACCATCGCTACTGCTGAGAGTGTTGGCTCCTAACAGCTCCCAGTTTCCCCTTCTCTGGAGAACTGTCCACAGTTGATCAAAGCCTCTCACCTGAAAATGTCCCAAAGATTACACCCCCTCCGCCTCCTGCGTTTAAATCCTGTCCTCTTGGGGTTACAGTTTTATATATTTTATCTCCGATTGTCTGAGTTTGAATTGTTGTTGCTGTCACTGTTAGGTGCTGTTAAGTCATTTCTGACTCGTAGTGACCCCGTGTGACTGAGCAGAACTGCCTTATAGGGTTTCCTAGACTGTAGTCTTTACAGAAGAGGATCGCCAGGTCTTTCTCCTGAGGAGCTGCTGGGTGGGTTTGAACTACTGACCTTTGGTTAGTAGCCAAGTGCTTAACTATTGTGCCCTGAGGGCTCCTTGAGCTTGGATCAGAGGGGGTGTATCAAACCAAGAACCCCCTGCTCCTCCCTGCCTGGAAATCCCACTGACTTTTCTGCCCGATGACACTGGCTTCTACCCTCAACGTCCACCTAACCTGCGGTTTCCAGGTCTACTGTGCCCTCCTAGTTCCAGAAAGCTGCAGGCAGCCTTCAGTCCTTTCCTGGTTTATTACCCTCCAGCAACTGACGCTGTTAGCCACTCGCTTCTCTCCTGATGCCCCCCTTCCTCACCTAGTCTGGGCGATGGTCAGATAAATCTGGGTTCAAACTCCACCTGTGCCATTTACCAACTGCCTAGCTTTCGACAAGTTTCTTATTCTCTGAAGCCTTCCATTTCTTCATTTGCAAAATACACACACACGCACAAACCCAAACCTGTTGCTGTCAAGTCGATTCCATCTCATGGCGACCCTATAGGACAGAGCAGAACTGCCCCCATAGGGTTTCCAAGCCTGTAATCTTTCAGGAAGAAGACTGCCACATCTTTCTCCCATGGAGAGGTTGGTGGGCTCAAACCGCCAACCTTTCAGTTAGCAGCCGAGCGCTTAACCACTGTGTCACCAGGGCTCCTCTCTTCGTTTGCAGAAGTGGGATTAGTCATCACTTGCAGGCCTGTTGTGGGGACTAGGGGTAACAATGCTCTGAAGATCTCACTAGGGTGATGTGTTCTCCCCTCTTTCCTCTGCTTTTTTCCATCCATTGCTGCTCTCCTGTCGGGCTCTGCGTTCTGCTTGGCTCTTGCCTGGTGTCAACTAGGGTAGGCCATGATTCTCAGTGTTTTGGCAGTTGTATAATGTGATCACTTTCCTGCTGAGATTTGATATGTGATCACGCCTGTGGTGGAATCTGCTGAGTGGTACCAGCAAGGGCAGGGCCTGTGGTGGCTCACCGCCCCCTTGGCCTTCATCTCTCTGCCCTCCGCTGGCTACTTCTTTCCTGCTCACCTTGCCAAAGTTTTTGGCTTGTTCTGGATCCAGCAGCTGCCTCTTGTTGTCTCACCTCTGGTTCTTGGGACTTGAGCTAGCAGCTTACCTGTCGATCTTGGGATTCGTCGATCTTCACAGCCTGTAAGCAAGAGTCCTGCTCCCTGACCTGATGATCTTGGGTTCGCCAGCCCCTGCAGCTATGTGAATCAGGAGAAATTTTGCAGTCTTGTCTGCTGATCTTGGAATTCGTTGACCTTCACAGGCTGTGAGCAGAGGCCCTGCTCTCCGACCTGCTGATCTTGGGCTCGCCAGCTTCTGCGGCTGCATGACTTGGGAAAAGCCTCTACCCTGATCCGTGGACTTGGGATGTTCCAGCCTCTACAATTGCGTGAGCTGTTTCCTTGATATAAATCTCTCTATATATATATTTATACACTTTACTGGTTTTTGCTTCTCTAGAGAACCCAGCCTAAGACACCTGGGGAGACAAGAAAGCCCAATGCGGGATTGTGGGCTTGCTGGGACTGGGATGCCATGCATCCAAAATCCTGCCCAGGAACTGTGGATAAGATTTGGTTGGTCCTGTGATCAAGTTTAGTTAGTGCCCTGTCTGGAGCCCTTGGGGTCATGTCCCAGCTGCTATCCCAACTGGTTAGTGGATGTTGGCCAAGCCGCCTCACCTGTCTCAGCATCTTCCTCTGGGCATGATAGTAATGACGCCCTCTTCTGGGGTCACAGCAAGGCATAACAAGAGTGTGCATGGGAAGCACGTTCTTGGCGCACTGGCCTTATGCAGGGTAGGTGCTCTGTGAAGCTTAGACCATCAATGCTTACTTGTCTAGTGCTGCTATAACAAAATACCACAAGCGGGTGGCTTTAATGAACAGAAATTTATTTTCTCACAGTTCAGGAGACTAGAAGTCCGAATTCAGGGCTCCGGCTCTAGGGGAAGGCTTGCTCTCTCTGTTGGCTCTGGGGGATGGTCCTTTCTCTTCATCTTCTGCTCCTTGGTTCCTTGGCCGTCTTCATGTGGTGTGGCATCTGTCTTCCTCCGTCTGTGCTTATTTGCTTTTGTGCCTAATCTGCTCCTTTTATATCTCAAAAGCGACTGGTTTGAGACACATCTTACACTGATACAGCCTCATTAACATAACAAAGAAAACCCTACTCCCAAATGGGGCTACACTCACAGGTATAGGGGTGTCGTGGATTGAATTGTGTCCCCCAAAAATGTGTGTCAACTTGGCTAGGCCATGATTCCAGTATTGTGTGACTGTCTGTCATTTTGTGATCTGATGTGATCATCCTATGTGTTGTAAATCCTACCTCTACGATGTTAATGAGGCAAGATTACAGGCAGTTATGTTAATGAGGCAAGACTGAATCTACAAGATTAGGTTTTGTTTTAAGCCAATCTCTTTTGACATATAAAAGAGAGAAGCAAGCAGAGAGACAGGTGGACCTCATACCACCAAGAAAGCAATGCTGGGAGCAGAGTGCGTCCTTTGGACCCAAGGTTCCTGTGCTGAGAAGCTCCTAAACCAGGGGAAGATTGATGACAAGGGCCTTCCCCCAGAACTGACAGAGAGAGAAAGCCTTCCTCTGGAGCTGGCACCTCGAATTTGGACTTCTAGCCTTCTAAACTGTGAGAGAATAAATTTGTTTGTTAAAGCCATCCACTTGTGGTATTTCTGTTATAGCAGCACTAGATAACTAAGACAAAGGGTCAGGATTTTACAAAGCCTCTTTCGGGGAGACACAATTCAACCCATAGCAATCATCATCATCATCAATGTCAATCCACTCAATGTCATTAAATGTACACAAGGCTATTTATGGAACTCTGACAACAGTCAAGTTGCCTTGGCTTTATGAATTGGAGAGTTGCAGGTTGTTGCAACCCAAGAAGGTTATTATACTTCAGGGACTGGGTTACCTGGCTGGGAATAGCATTTTCTACCTGAGTTCACAAATAAGTGTCCACTCTCTGTCAGCAGTTGCATGAAGTACAACGTTAGGTCTTGGCCAGCGACGTCCAGCTGCATGGTTGACTGATGCAAAGGGCATCCGTCAATGATGGGCACAAAGTAGGTCATCCCTTCTCCGGATTCGATGGTTGTTCCTAGACGAAAGAGAATACTGGCATCATAATATAGGGTACACGGCACGCCCATCATGGCTAAGTCTGCAGAAGGAGAGGGCAGAGGGAGAAACCAATGGAGGTGCAGGCAAAAGGCCTGAGGAGCAAGCTTTCTTCCCCTATAGAGGAGTGTGCTAGGATGGAACCTTCTGGGTCAGAACAAGGGCTGTTTTAGACAGGAAGCCTGGAGGCTTTTTTATTCAACCAGACATACAGGAATTAGCAAAGAGAAGTAAAGGAAAAAGAATACCAGGGTCCTAACCCTTTTCCTCTAAGGAACTGCCTGTGCATTGATGAGAACACTAGAAATCTCCATGTGGCATCCTGAATGTCAGGAGCGTCCGGATGCAACTGAGGAGCTGTACATTTTAGTTACCAAGGCAGTCTTGCTCTCCCGGCCTGGTCCAGAAGGGTGTGAGGTGGTAATGGGAAAGTATGGCCTCATTTTGTGTAAAACGGTAGCCTGTAGATCCTTCTACAAGGAGCAGCTCTGATGGTGCAGAGGTTAAGCGCTTGGCTGCTAACCAAAAGGTCGGTGGTCCGAACCCACCCAGTGGCTCCACGGGAGAAAGATGTGGCAGTCTGCTTCTATAAAGATGTACAGCTTTGGAAACCATATGGGGAAGTTCTACTCTGTCCTATAGGGTTGCTATGAATCAGAATCAACTCGATGGGAATGAGAGCCTTCTAGAGCTGATTAGGGGTGTAGGTAGTTGGCTCCTTTCACCTGTTAAGTGTGGGCTGGTAACCAAGAGCTTCAAATTTCAAATGAAACAAAAGTGAGACCAGAGGACCTCCACTTCTAGCTAAGATGGAGTAACAGACTGGATTTCCCCTCCCTCCTGGAACACCTGAAAAACCAGACAAAACACAAGTAACAAAGATTTTTCAAGATATTGGAAGTCAGGTAACAAGAGATGAGATATCACAACACAACTATAGACCATTGTCCTTCATAGAGACAAACATCCTAAACAAAATTTTCACAAACTGAATCCAACAATATATAAAAAGGATAATACATTATTACCAAATTGGTCTTGTCTCAGGAAAGGTTATTTTAACATTCAAAAATCAATCAACATAATTCACTGTATTACTGAACTAAAAAAGAAAATCCATAAGTCAAATCACTAGATGCAGAAAATGCACTGAACAAAACATAATATCCATTCCTGATTTAAAAAAAAAACAAAGCCCTCCACAAACCAAGAATACAAGAGTACTTGCTCGCATTGATTAAAAAAAAAAAAAAAATGTTCAATTCCCTTTGGAGCAATCCAACCTTAACTTAAGACACTCCAAACTGACTTAAAAAAAAAAAAAAAAAAGTCTACAAAAAACATACACCTAAGAGCATACTTTATTTTATGGTGAAAGTCTGAGTTCTTTCCCTCCAAGATCAGGAACAAGACATGGATGTCTGCTCACCACTTCTATTCAGTATTTTACCAGAGGTTCTAGCCAGTTCAACCAGGCAAGAAAAAAGACAAAACATAAACAAAAACAGTAAAACACACACGGTTTGGAAAGAAAGAAGTAAAACTGAGTTTATTTATAGACAACACAATTGTTTAAGTAGAAAATCTGAAGCAATCTACAAAAAAGATACTGTCACTAAAAAATGAGCTTAGTAAGGCTTCAGGAGACAATTTTTGCAATACCAATATGCATAAATCAATTGTATTTCTATATAGTGGCAATGAACAATAAGAAACTGAAATAAAAATACCATTTCCAATAGCATCAAAATAACTGAAATACTGAGAGACAAATCTGACACAAGATATATAAGACCTGTACACTATAAACCACAAAACATTATACTAGAAATTAAAGGAGACCTAAGAGATACACCATATTCATGGGTTGGAAGAATCAGTATTATTAAGATGTCCAGTCTCCCCAAATTAATCAACAGATTCAACATAATTCCAATAAAAATCCAAGGAGGCTTTGATAGAAATTGACAAGCTAATTCTAAAATTCATATGGAATTGTAAAGCACCTAGAATAGCCAAGAATTTTTCAAAAACTTTCACTACCTTATTTCAAGACTTATTGTAAAGCTACACTATTTAGGATAACGTGGTACTGACCAAAGGTCAGATAAGTACATCAGTGGGAGAGAATAAAGAGTCCAGAAATAGACTCACACATGGACAACTGAGTTTCAAAAAAAATGTGCAAACAATTCGACAAAGAGAAGAAAGCTCTTTTAAACAGGGGTATTGGAACAATTGGATATCTACATGCAAATATACGAATTTCAATCCATACCTCACACCATATTAAAAAATTAAATTAAAAGGTAAAATAAAAACTATAAAACTTCTAGAAGAAAACATAGGAGAAAAATCTCTGTGACCTTCAGTTAGGCATATGTTTCTTAGATACAACAGCAAAAGCATGATCTATAAAAGAACAAATTGATAAACTGAACTTCATCAAAATTAAAAAATTCTGTGCTTCAAAAGACATTAAGAGAATGAAAAGACAAGCCACAGACTGGGACAAAATATTTCCAAAACATATATCTAGTAAAATACCTGTATCCAGGATTTAAAAAAAAAAAAAAAAACTCTCCAAACTCAGTGACAAACATCCCAATGAAAAAATAGTCAAAGAATCTGAACAGATATTTTACTAAAGAAGATATGCAGATGGCAAATAAGCACATGAAAAAATGCATAACATCATTAGTCATCAGAAAAATGCAAATCAAATCCACAATGAGATAACCATTATGTACTTATTAGAGTACCTAAAATTGTTGTTGAGGATGTGGAGCAACTGGAACTCTCATACACTGCTGGTGGGAATGTAAAATGGTGACAACTTTGGAGAACAGTTGGTCAGGTTCTTAAGAAGTTAAAATACACCTACCATGTGACACAGCCATTCCTCCCCTGGGTATTTCTCCAAGAAAAATGAAAACATGTTCAGCTTTATCTATAATAGCCCAAAACTAGAAACAACCCAAATGTCCATTTACACGCAAATGAATAAACAAATTGTGGTACATTCTTGCAATGGAATCCTACTCAGCCATAAAAAGAGTGGACTATTGATACACCAATGACACAGAATCTCCAAATAATCATGCTGAGTGAAAAAGAAAAAAATAATATACAAAAAGCAGAGTGCATGCTGTATAGTTCCATATATATAAAATTGTAGAAAATCCAACTACTCTATAGTGACAGAAAGCAGATTGGCAGTTTTCTGGGGACAAAGTCAAGGGGGAAGAGTATACTGGGTGGAAGGGACCATACAGGGGCACAGGAAACTTTGAGGGTTGATGTGTTCCCTATCCTCATCGTGGTGATGGTTTCACGAGGGAATACATATGTCACATACAAACTCATCACACTGTACACTTTAAACACGTGCAGCTTATTATATGTCAGTTGGATCACAATAAAGGTGTTGGGAAAAAAAATTGAATTGAGTGAGTTAATGACTGTTGGTGAATTGTTTAACTGGGGGGATAAAAGTAGTTAGAAAAAGGGCTGTAGAGTGTGGCTTTCGTGGAGTTTTCTGAGTGCCACCAGCCAGAGGGACAGGGAGGATGTGAGCTCACGAGGACGGGGTTCACACAGGGCCACTCACCAGTTGTTTTGCCAGAGGCGTACAGAGAAAGGACTCCTTGGTTGGCTATATATAGGGCAGGTACGTTGAAGGTCTCAAACATAATCTACAGAGAAAAATTGGCAATCACTATCTGCCAGGCCAGAGAGACAGGAGAAGGTACAACATGAACGCCGTTAGTAGGAGGCATCTTGACTCCCACAGAGAGACCTAAACCAGGGAGTCAGCTCCCCACAGCTCTGCGCATAGCTAGCCCTGTGACTTTCTCAGCTCCTTACTCTGTTAAATGGGGTTCACACCCTCCCACCTACCTCACAGAATGGGTAAGACTCTGATTAGAGGGCACAACACTGTCTTGTAAATCATAGTTTTACCATGATGGTGGTTGTTAGGTGCCATCGAGTCAACTTTCAACTCATAGCAAGCCAGTGGACAGAGGAGAACTGTCCTACAGGGGTTTCTAGGCTGTAATCTTTATGGAAGCAGATTGTCAATTCTTTCTCCTGTGTAGCTGCTGGGTGAGTTCCAAACACCAACCTTTCAGTGAGCAGCCAAGCACTTAACCGTGGCGCCACCAGGGTCTTTACCATAATGGTGATGATGCTTAATTCCCACTTGCCTCTACAAACCCATCATTGCACTTTTCACTGAACACACCTTTCTTTCTGCCCTAGTATGGTGAGGAGACACTTTCAACTGGGATGATTGACTTCTTGTATAATAATGGAATAATGTTGAAAAGCAAAGATGTCACTTTGAGGACTCAGGTGCGCCTGACCCAAGCCATGGTATTTTCAATTGCCTCATATGCATGCAAAAACCGGACAACAAATAAGGAAGACTGAAGAAGAATGGATGCCTTTGAATTATGGTGTTGATGAAGAATATTGAATATACCACAGACTGCCAGAATAACAGACAGGTCTGTCTTGGAAGAAATACAGCCAGACTGCTCCTCGGAAGAGAGGATGGAGAGACTTCGGCTCATGAACTTTAGACATTTTATCAGAAGGGACAGGTCCCTAGAGAAGGACTTCATACTTGGTAAGGTGGAGGGTCGGTGAAAAAGAGGAAGACCCTCGGCGAGATGGATTGACACAGTGGCTGCAACAATGGGCTCAAACATAGCAACGACTGTGAGGATGGCATAGGAGCAGGCAGTGTTTTGTTCCGTTGTACACAGGGTCGCTATGAGTTGGAACCGACTAGATGGCACCTAACAACATAACAGCATGATAACAGAAACAATCATAGCTAACATTTATTCTGTTTATTACATACCAGACACTTTATAGATATTGCCTGGTCAAGAAATATTTACCGGGTCCTGATTATATGCCCTGGGGTGAAAGAAGCGAACAAGCGAAACGCAGTCTTGCTTTTACTGTCCATGGAACCCTATGAGAGTGTGATATTGAAAGGTCTGGTGATCTACTTCCCAAAAATCAGCCATTGAAAACCCTATGGAACAGTTCTAGTCCAACACACATAGGGTCACCATGAGCTGGGATTGATTCAATGGCAACTGGTTTTTTGTGCAGATGAGACATTGGTGAACAAGAATGTGAGTTAGCAGTTGGCAGAGGTGAGAGGTAAACACAGGCTTCTGGGCTCCAGAACGTGGCAGGGCTCTGCCTCCACAAGGCTGGCTGGGCATGAGAGAGATTCTAGTAAAGATGGTGGCATTGCTGGCTAATACCACAGTCTTCACTAGGGAGTAACATTCCATGTGGGCTTGAGTACTGATCCAAGAGAAGTGAAAACATATGTCCATACAAAGACCAGTACACGAATGTTCACAGCAGTTGTATTTGTATTAGCTCCAAACTGGGAATAGTCCAGGTGTCCACTCACAGGTGAGTGGATGAATACCTGTGAAAGGTGGAAAGCCAGGGCATCTAGCAGTACACTCAGAGTGGGTATGGCTGCTGGTGTCTAATAACGTCTTTGAGTTTGGGCCAGTCTCAGATGTCCCAGGAATTCTGATCCTGGAAGAAGTGAGAGGGCATGAACCATAGATGGGAGGTCAGCTATTGTGATCCAGAAGGTACAAAGACCCCTCCCTTTAAAAAACACAGGACGACAACCAGCCTCAGTTGTCATGGAGCCAGAAGGTCACAGAGCTCAGAAGGGTCGTCAGGGTTCCTGTGGTCAAACTCTCATTTTACAGATGAGAAAACTGAGTCCCGGAAACAATAAGAGCTAGCTTTTACTGAGTGTTCAGTATATGCTGTTATGGATTGAACTGTATCCCCCAAAAAGACATGTTGAAGTCCTACCCTGCTACCTGTGAATGTGACCTTGTTTGTGGAATTAGGGTCTTTGAAGATGTTATCAGGTATGTTAACATGAGGTTATACTGAAGTAGAGCGGGTCCTAATTCCATCTGAGTGGTGTCCTTATAAAAGAGGAGAAGAGACATAGTGGCAGGGAGACAGAGAAGATGGACATGTGACAATGAAGGCAGAGATTGGAGTGATGATGCATCTATAAGCCAAGGAATGCCTGGGGCTACCGAAGCTGGGAGAGACAAGGAAGGATCTTCTCCTAGAGACTTTGGAGAGAACGCAGCCCTGCCAACACCCTAAATTTGGACTTCAGGCCTCCAAAACGTTGAGAGAATAAATTTGTCATTTTAAGTCATCCACTTTGTTACAGCAGTCCCAGGAAACTCATACAGGTGCTAAGAACTGTTCCATGCACTTTCCAGGTATTTGCTCATTTCATCCTCTCAACAGACACGCAGTAGAGCTTTCAGGATCTGTGGGTAACAGTTGCCCACCCACTTTTTCCAACTCTCAGGTTTCTTGGTACCCTACTTTTCCCAATGAAATGAAAGTATTTGCTGTCCCCCAGTGGGGATTTGTGTAAAGGAGAAAGAAATGTTCATTGAAGCAAAATAACTGGGATATCAGGCTTAAATGCGAGGTAGTGCATCCAGGAAATGTGACTGGATAAAAATTTTGTCTCTTTTGGCTTTTGTACAGCTAGATAAGCCTTGTAAGCATATTCATGGTTCCCTGTGTGATAGTTAGAGAGTCCTGGTGGGTTTTGTTTTTGTTTTGTATCATATTTGGAAAACCAGAGGCACCCAATATACTCCAATGGAAGGTGTCCTGCAATACATTCCACCACTCAGGTTTGGTGGAAAAGATGGGTGTCCACATATTTCTCAAAATCCATATTACCAACCAAAAATTTAAACAAACCCCAGTGACTCAGCATGCGTCTATTAACTAAAACACATGGTATCAAAAAAAAAATTTAAAGCAGAAAGTTATTGAGTCTTGAAAGGGGTAGGTACAATTATCATCCCTCTGATGAGGAAACTGAGGCAGAGTGAGGCATTGAAACATCCTATTCAACACAGATTTACTCCAGGAGTATTCAGTCCTCCACTTCCAGTCCATTCCAGCCTCCTAGAGGAGTCTGGAGGTTGGGCAGCTGGGCAGAGAAATTTTGGCAGAGAAGGTGGTCCCATGGGGAAGGTGGGAGCAGAGGCATGATGTTGCTATTTGCCCCTCAGAGTCTCCATCTTTCTCCACCACTCTCTGCCTGGGCTGTATCCATTGGTCTCTTTCCTTGGGCAACCTGTGGGTTTCTTCCAATAGAGGCACTAAAGGGAGATCCTAAGCAGGAGGATAAATGGGCGGGGAAAAGAGGCAGGACACTGATGTCCCATGGAGTCCCTGGGTGGTGCAAATGGTTAAGTGCTGGACTGCTAACCAAAAAGTTGGTGGTTCAAATCCACCCAGAGGTGCCTCGGAAAACAGGCCTGGTGATCTGTATGTAGCACAGTCCTACTCTGCACACATGGCGTCGCCATGAGTTGGAGTCAACTTAACGACAACAACTAACAACATTTATGTTCCAGCTCCCGCCCTGCTGGATCATCTCAGTGCACTACATCATGGCTGCTGGCAGACACTCGTCTCTGGGTGCTGGTCACCACCACCTGCTGCTCTTGCAGGATTAGGGGTGGCAACGGCGTCCCCTGTCACTAGCCCCCATGTAGTGCACCATCCCTGGTTGCTTTTTCTAAAATTCATGCTCATCAAAATCACTCCTGTGAGCATTCCTTTGGTTTCCTGCTGGGACCCTGCCTGTCACAGATTGAATTGTGTCCCCCAAAAATATGTGTCAACTCCGTTAGGCCATGATTCCCGGTATTGTGTGGTTGTTCTCCATTTTCCTATGCGTTGTAAATCCTAATTTCTGCCTGTGGTTAATGAGGCAAGACTAGATCACGTTAAAGAGGATTAGGGTGGGATTGTAACACCCTCGCTAAGGTCACATCCCTGATCCAATGTAAAGGGAATTTCCCTGGGGTGTGGCCTGTACCACCTTTTATCTTACAAGAGATAAAAGGAAAGGGAAGTGAGCAGAGAGTTGGGAACCTCATACCACCAAGAAAGCAGCGCTGGGAGCAGAACGAGTCCTTTGACCAGGGGTTCCTGCGTGGAGAAGGTCCTAGGCCAGGGGAAGACTGATGACAAGGACTTTCCCTCAGAGCCAACAGAGAGAGAAAGCCTTCCCCTGGAGCTGATGCCCTGAATTTGGACTTCTAGACCACTAGACTGTGAGAAAATAAATCTCTGTTTGTTAAAGCCATCTACCTGTGATACTTCTGTTATAGCAGCAGTAGATGACTAAGACACCACCTGATACAATTAGAGAGAACTGAGAGAGAGCCAGGTAAAAAGGCAGATGGCAGGCCCCGGAGAGGCTGGGAGCACTGCAGACAGTTGACACAGCCTCCCCAGGGAGAAGGACGGTCTGGCCTTCCTCTCTCCCACTCGCTGGGGCCCTTGGTAGCACATGGCATTCTCAGACCCCTTGGTGGCATGGTGGCCCAGCTCCAGGCTCCACCTGTGCAGGAGCCCAGCTCTGGCCACTTCTGTGATCCAACGTCCAATGTGGGCAGAGGAACCACTGGCCCAACAGGGCCCTGTTCCACGTGAGGTGGCGCACACACCTACTCTGTGATCGACGGTGCTACCTCTTCTGGGCTGCAGCTGCCTCCCCATGGGCAGGGGGAGCCAAGGCCCCAAGCCTGCCCTGTGGGCCACCTCTTCTGTAGGAGACACTGCAGGGCCCCTGGGGTGC